AATTTGGAATTCAATTCCAGTTTGAACCACCAGTGCCCCCTACATCCGAAATGAGTTTTGAACCATTTTTTTTAAATCAAGCCTAATAAAAATTTAATTGGAAGCAATAACCCCACAAAGGTTTTCATCTCTCTCTTTACTTTGTAATATATTATTCCCACTTGAATGGCAAGTTTTGGTTAGAAAACAGGGTAGTAATACATGCAGATACCATTCTGCTACCCATTTCCATTCCTATTCCTGCAATACTTTTAATTAAATGTTTAAGAAACTGAATTTTGTTCTGTACATTGATTCTAATTCTGCAATGTGGCATAATAATATTGATTCTAACCTTATAGAGTTGTTGCAAAGATTACTGAAATAAAGTACATAAAACTTTTGAGCACTACTTGTACTGGTAGTGTAGATTTAATCCCAAAGTCTTGTAGTGTGTACAGCATATTTACACCTTTTAAAAACAAGGAGGAATATAAGGGGAAAATATTTATGTATTTATTTATTTATTTAAGGTACTTTTACCCCACCCTTCTCAACCCCCGAGGGGGGACTCAGGGCAGCTTACAAAAAGACACCATTCGATGCCTATACAAATTACACATAATGTACAAAACCAAAGTTAAAACAATTATCACAGTTAAAACAATCAGTATATAACACATCATATAAAACATATATGGACAGGATTGTATCTATTACATTTATATCCCACCTTTCTTCTTGAATTGTGTCATCCAGAACTGTAGACGTTATTCCAGGTGAGGTCTGACCAAAACAAAACAGAGTGGTACTGCTACTTCCCACAATCTGGATATGATTCTCCTTTTGAGGCAGTTTTTTTAACCAACGTTACTCAATGGATGATGATATCATCCTCTATGTTAAGATTATGTGTTGTTAGGGTCTTAAGTCCATAAATTCAAAAATTATAGAAACAAGGACATAGAAGAATTTTAGTTAGTTTGCTTTTTTTATTCCACACATATATGCAAGCGCTCACACACTGAATCCTTCGGTTCTGTGTGATCCAGATTTGCGTTTTGCAGCTGTCATTGTGCCCCATATCGATAAATAACAGTAATGTAAACACAGACATGCTGAAATGTATACATTCACATTGATATCATTTAATAATAGATGGCATGAATCTTGAAACACATTAGAGCCAAGTGTTTTTTCAATATATATGTGTGTTGAATTGTCACCACCTTGTCTATTTAGTCAATTGCATTATGAAATAAAGGGAATTCAGAGGAAATTCAAAATACAGTTTATCCATATCCATGGAGAAGGAGTAAAAGACAATTAATCAGGAATTTTGATTCAGAAATAGAAGTTAAGGAATGTAGTGGCTTTTTGGTAGAAACAGACTTGTTTTTGTAGAATGGCTGGTGTCTCTGCATTTGTCTCCTTGTTGGTTGTAGTAGTTTCTAACACTCTTCAAATGCAACTCCATGTACATGTACAGCACATTACTGATAAGAGGCACGGATTTAAGACATGTTTAAGACAAGGTGTCTTGTAATAAAAAAAGAGCAATAAAGTTGAATGCCATTTGGATACCGATCTAAAGCTTGACAAAAAAAAAGACTGCCATGCCCAAGCGCTAAATCAGACTATCCTAGTGTGCTAGCCCATTTATCTGATATTCTTGCCCCATGGTAGCATATTTGTTATTTCTGAGCTTTTGTGCAGCTCTTCTGAGCTTTTGTGCACCCCATTCTGAAGGTTTGAAGTGGTTCCCCCAAGACTTATTGACTGTTTTTTAGAGAATTATAGAATAATGAAGTTGGAAAAAGTCTCAAGGGTCATCCTTTCCAGCACCTTGCATGTAGGGTACACTACATAATCAAAGTGCTCTTGAGAGATGGTCATCTAGCCTCTGAATAAACACCTCCAAAGAAAGAGACTCTTTGGTAGTATATTATATAGCTCTTACTGTCAGAAAGTTCTCCTAAAGTTTAGGTGGGATCTCTTCTTCTGTGATTTGTATCCATTACTTTGTGGCCTAGTATTTGGAGCAACAGAAATTGAACTTGTTCCAACTTCAATATAACAGCCTTTCAAATATTTATACATGGCTACCAAGTCTCCTTTTAACCTTCTCTTCTCCAGGCTAAAAATACCCAGCTCTCGTTGGGCATGGCTTCCAGACCTTTGATCAGTTTACTTGCCCTCCACCATATACGTCTCCCTACATCCCCCAGCTGTCACCTTTTGAATTTGGACTTGCCCATGGATGCAATACAACCTCTGAGCACATCTTGAAAGTAAATTCCTCTTCCAGGCTGGGAGACACTCTCCATCTTTGTTCTAAAATGATCAACATGTGTTTACACTGTGTTGACAGATTAAAAAGTGGGTTGCCTCTTCAATTGTTAATGTTTTTAGAATTGGGAGATTGAGAAAGAATATATTTAAGCTGTGCCTTCTCCCATGAAAGAACATACCTACACCATTTCTTTAACAAAAACAGAATCTAAGTAACTACAAAGAAATAGAATAACTATATATTCTACCAAGGCCTCGGGTTATAAATAAAGCACAAGTCATAGCTTTTATATATATATAGTTATACTTTTCCCAATGGGTGGACTTTGCAAAACATAATATTGTTGATGCCTCTGCCAATATAGAAAGTGATATGTTTCCCATTTCAGTTAGCTATGGAGCCCTTTTTGGTACATTACTCAGAAAGGAACAGGCTCAAAATAATCTAGGAGATGGTTATGAAAAAAGATACTCCCTATATAGCAAGATAAAACAGCCATAACTTTCTGTCATGAAAAAGAATCTGCTCTGAAAGAAAATCGTTTCTCACTGGCAAATGGGATTTCTTTCAGCAAACTGACTTTTCACTGTTTTCAATAGTACGTCAACTTCTCTGATTATGGAGTCTGAAAGAGATGTGATGGCGACATTTTTGGTTTTTGTTGTTGTTTTTTAAAAGATTTCTGCCAGCCTTTTCACATTGAAAGCTTTTCACATTTGTGCATTTCTGATCCAAGGTTGTCAGAAATAAAATCCTTTCAGATGCAAGATATTTATTATGTGGGCTGTGATGAGTTTGCTGTCAATTGTATTAATGTGATTGCTCATTCTAGAGAGTAGCTTGCAGTTGTTAACACAAGAGGAGATTTCATTTTATAAATGTCAGCATTTGGGGTTGTGTAGTTCAATTTCTTACCTTAATATTTTACATAAGAGACAAATATTCTAATCTGTCTACTAAGACCAGGGGCGGCTCAACCCATTACGCAAAGTAAGCATTTGCAGTATAGTTGATTTTGCCCAGGGGCGCTCTTGAGGCACTCTTGGGGGAAAATAGACCTTCACATATGCGAGTTGTAGTTACTGGGATGTAGTTACTGATTCACCTACAATCAAACAGCATTCTGAACTCCACCAATGATGGAATTGAACTAAATATGGCACACAGAACTCCCACAACGAACAGAAAATATATATCAGTGATTGGTTGGGGGGGGGGGCAAAAAACTGTTTCCTTACCGTTGAAAATTACCTAGGGCCACCTCTGACTAAGACCTTCTTATTACCAAAGTCAAAAACCTATCCATTTTTAGTTTCTGTGAATTCTGCCACATTTATTCTCCACATCAGACCTCTTTAAAATGAATGAGATCCGCATGTTCTACTATGTGATGGAGAGCCAGCTCTACGGCCCTTCCTCTTTTTTGCACCCTGTTCAGATGAAATAATTTTTCTATGTCTAATGATCCAATCTTGTGAAACTCCTTTTTTTCTCAGAAGGAATTGCAGTTACTAGCTTACCTCATTACTTGCAGAAAGTTAGACCATGTGTGAAGTCATTAAAACAACATGATACTACACATGCCTGCAATGGTAGCAACTATTGACTACCACGACAGCAGGGATACACATTATACAAGATAAAGAGGCCACATAGAGTCCATTTGTGGTTGATCAGCTTTATTAAGAAATCCCCCAAATGCCATCCTACAATTTTCAAGTCAGCAGGACTCTATAGATTTAACATAACTTTATAATTACAATTGACTGAGAACAAAACATGACAGATCTCACACAAAATGCCCCCACTGAAATGTCAATAAAGAGTCTCTTCTTATGCTATTTGATGGGGGGATAGAATTTTTCCCTCTAATCTGCCAGGGAGCAATACCGTATGTTTGCCTATTGTCAACCACCATTGTAGCTCTCATGAAAAGAATTTATTTATTTATTTACTTATTTACCATATTTGTATACTGCCTTTCTCAGCCCGAAGGCGACTCAAGGCGGTTTACAGTTGGCAACAATTTAATGCCCCCAAATCATACAATACAATTTAAAAACATTTACCAATAAAATGAAAAAATATACAGTACCAATAAAAACATATTTCAACAGAGTCTCCTTATTAAAATCATTGTCAGGTCACATCATCCAGTCGTTCCATTGTTCTACATTACCTGTTACACTGCACTTATGAAAGCTTGCTCAAAAAGCCAAATTTTAACTTTTTTGTGAAATGTTCAAAGGGAGGGGGCTGCTCTGATATCCCTAGGAAGGGTGTTCCATAGCAGAGGGGCCACCACTGAGAAGGTCCTGTATCTCGTCCCCACCAAGCGCACCTGTGATGGGCGGCGGGACTGAGAGCAGGTCTTCCCCAGACGATTGACAGGCTGGCATCCAAAGGTTAAAAGACTGATACTTGGCCATAGATCAGCAGTTTGTGTAGTACTACTTTGTGTGGGTATATATGCTTTTAAGTATGGTGTCGGCCATCCCATGAATTTCATAGAGGTTTCTTAGGAAAGGAAAACTCAGAGATGGTTTTTCCAGTTCCATCCCCTGAAATACGGCTTACAGCACCTGGAATTCTGTACATCATTTAAATTATGTAGACCTTCAGAAATAAGATTTTAATGCAGTAGATTGTTTTTCTTCCATTTATATGGCCCTCTTCACAATTGCCCATAACATTTGCTGTTCTCAAAGTCTCTCTTTTTTATGTTTAGGTAATACTGCCAAGGTGTTTATTGAAGTACAAGATGAAAATGACCATGCTCCTCTTTTCACAAGAAAGCTCTACATAGGAGGTGTGTCTGAAGATGCGAGAATGTTTGCTTCGGTGATGAAAGTAAAGGTGAGAATTTTGTTTAATGAAGCCCCAAACATTCCTCCACACAGAATGTATTTTCATTAAGAGGTTTTACAGTTGCAATTCCATCAAAATAAGAGAGACTTAAGCAAAAGTAATGGCTGTTCTCAGATTGCAGAAAGGAGCCATCCATTAATGTAATACCTTCTACAGACCAGAATCACATCATTTAGAGTAGTGGTTCCCAACATTTAGTCTGCAAGGTGTTTTGAACTTCAGCTCCCATAATTCCTCATAACTGGTAAACTGGCTGGTATTTTTGGGAGTTGAAGTCCAAAACCACGGGAGGACCAAAGGTTGGGAAGCACGGATTTGGAGGATTTATTAGCTCTTCTTTGGTTCTTTCATAGATAGCACAGAAATTCAAGCCATCCCACTTATGATGACGTGTGATAAACCTCAAATTAATGCAATTTCAGTTATGGTAATATATATCTAACTGTATGGACAGAGAACTTGCTTTCAGCCTCACTGCCTTCACAGGAATGTTTAGTAAGTGCACATGAGAGAGCCTTCTCGGTAGTAGCTTATAGTCTGTGGCATTCTCTCCTACGACACACTAGACTGTCTCCTTCCCACTCTCTTTTCACTGACAGATAACAACCTTTTTATTTGATCAGGCATTTGGTTGACTATCAGTCTATGAAGTAAACACTTTTAATGGGATATGTCTACTGGATTTTTAAATAATTGCCATGTTTTTCAAAATATTTTACATTGTACTAATATGATGGTTTCTTTCTTATTTATTTATTTGTCGTGTCAGGGCAACCAGTCAATTATATTACATTTCTAACAGAACAAAGCAAACAAACAGACAAAATACAAAATTTGTGAGTTTGGTAGTTGATTAAATGTCCTTTGACCAGTATCTGGCCACTTGGAGTGCTTCTGGTGTTGCTGCAAGAAGGTCCTCCATTGTGCATGTAGCAGGGCTCAGGTTGCATTGCAGCAGATGGTAAGTGGTTTGCTCCTCTCCACACTCGCATGTCGTGGATTCCACTTTGTAGCCCCATTTCTTGAGGTTGGCTCTGCATCTCGTGGTGCCAGAGTGCAGTCTGTTCAGTGCCTTCCAAGTTGCCCAGTTTTCTGTGTGCCCAGGGGGGAGTCTCTCATTTGGTATCAGCCATTGGTTGAGGTTCTGGGTTTGAGCCTGCCACTTTTGGACTCTCGCTTGCTGAGATGTTCCAGCGAGTGTCTCTGTAGATCTTAGAAAACTATTTCTAGATTTAAGTCATTGACGTGCTGGCTGATACCCAAACAGGGGATGAGCTGGAGATGTCTCTGCCTTGGTCCTTTCACTATTGGCTGCTACTTCCCGGCGGATGTCAGGTGGTGCAATACCGGCTAAGCAGTCTAATTTCTCCAGTGGTGTAGGGCGCAGACACCCCGTGATAATGCGGCATGTCTCATTAAGAGCCACATCCACTGTTTTAGTGTGGTGAGATGTGTTCCACACTGGGCATGCGTACTCAGCAGCAGAGTAGCATAGCGCGATCAGCCTGCCACTTTTGGACTCTCACTTGCTGAGGTGTTCCAGCGAGTGTCTCTGTAGGTCTTAGAAAACTATTTCTAGATTTAATTTGTTGACGTGCTGGCTGATACCCAAACTTTTCTATCATAAATTTTGTTGGTTTTTTTATATACCTTGTTTTAATTCACGGTGTGATCCACCTTGGGGTCAATATTATAAGAAAGACTGAATACATATAAAATGGAAAGAAATATATTTAATGTTCCCATTGTAATGAGTCAACTCTGAAAGAGATCCATTATTTTCCCCCAGGGCAGTCCTTCTCAGTGTCAATGCAGAAATTGTGCATTTCATCAAGTTGTATGGTTAAAAAGTAGAATCCACACCATCCTTTCTAGTAGCTGTCGGAGACCAGAGACCTGCTAGAATGATACAAAGATGCCTAGAGAGCTACCAGACTAGCTAATCAAGAATCATTGTAGTTTAAGATTGGACAAGGATATTAGTATTATTTTCATTAATTCACAACCATCAAATTTGACCATAGTTATTATCAAATATTTAGGGGAAAAAGAAGTTACAAGCAATATAAAGCATCAGTTTTCAAGACTAAGAAAATTACAGTAAGGGCTGTTCGGCTTTTTAAATATAAAAATAGTATGTAAAAATATTCCTGTGTTAAGCCACAATGTCATGAATATTAATTTTTTGTGACAACTAGGACAGCAGGCATTTGGAAATTGTGTTCACAAACTGAATGACACTGTGCTTCCACCTAGCCAGACATATTTGTGCATATTGATAGGGACAATATGTACCAGTGTGTGGATGCCGAAGATTCTGATTATTTATCTCTGCCATTATTATCATGCTTTGTAAACCTTTTACAATTTAAAATAACTTTAGCAGCTACTTACTAATAATATAATAATAAGACTTTATTTATATTCTGTCGTATCTCCCTGAGGGGACTGATGTCTAATGATGTCTAATTTCTGATCTTTTAATTCTGGACAACAACATTTTAATTTATTAAAAAATATTAAAAATAAAGTTGCAAACATGAAGATATTTACAAAAAAAAAGCCTAACTGATTCTAGTTGGACTCAAATCACTTCTGCCTGCTAAATTGGGCAGGGCTTTTAGCAGAATAGATGTGTTCCTGGGCACTTGTTCTTTGAAAGTAAAATTGATAACGGAAGCAGCAAGAGCATGGAATGAACTGGGATATGTTCCTGCACCACAAAAAGTAAGGGCAACATGTTTTTAGCAAACATTTTATCCAAGCTAACAATACAGGTTGAGCATTGTTATCTGAAAGTCTGAAACCCAAAATATTCCAAAATCCATGGGTGACTGAGATAATGACCTCTTTGCTTTCTGATGGCACACAAACTTTGTTTCATGCACAGAGTTGTTTAAAAATATTGTCTAAAATTACTCTCAGACAATGTGCCCTGTACTTTGGAAAAGGTGGGGCATAAACTAATTAAATAAAATAATAAATAAATTTAGTGTTTAGATTCCAATTTTAAGATAATGCATTATGTACATATGTAATGATGATGATGATGATGATGATGAAGATGATGATGATGACGACGACAACAATATACCCCACCACCATCTCCCCTCGGGGACTCGAGGCGACTTACAAAGAGCAAGCCCACAATTACAGTTAAAACAGTGACACAGTTAAAATCAGTCAATAAAAAAAATAACACACAACAGTCATAAAAACAATCTTAAAAACAGCAACATAAGCAATAGGCTGAGATAAAAGTCATAGTTGAGTTCAAGCTCAATGAGTGCAAATAATTCCTAAGGAGTCAATGGAAAATGTGGAAATTAATTGAACAGGGGCTAGGAAAACCGTTGGTGAAAGTGTCGAGGAAGTCAATGAAAGGGCCGAAATAAAGTGCAGAACTTAAAGTAGGGACAGGATGGTTCAATGGTGAACTGCGTAATCAAAGGCACGATGGAACATCCAGGTTTTTATATGCAAATATGGGTATTCCAAAAAGAAATCAAAAATACGTCTGGTCCCACTGATTTCAGAGATAAGAAATGCTCACATGTACATGATGAATGAACCAACTAGGTCAAGTAAGCCTTTGATAAATTAAAAAAAAACATTTTGAGTATTTTAGAGACTTGTTGTTGTTCATTCGTTCAGTCATTTCTGACTCTTCGTGACTTTATGGACCAGTCCACGCCAGAGCGCCCTGTCGGTCATCACCACCCCCAGCTCCTTCAAGGTCAAGCCAGTCACTTCAAGGATACCATCCATCCATCTTGCCCTTCTTTTTTCCTTCCATTTTCCCCAGCATCATACTCTAAGCTTTCCTTTCTTCTCATGATGTGGCCAAAGTACTTCATCTTTGCCTCTAATATCCTTCCCTCCAGTGAGCAGTCGGGCTTTATTTCCTGGAGGATGGACTGGTTGGATCTTCTCGCTGTCCAAGACACTCTCAGACCTTTCCTCCAGCACCATAGTTCAAAAGCATCTATATTCCTTCGCTCAGCCTTCCCCAAGGTCCAGCTCTCACATCCGTAGGTGACTATGGGGAATACCATTGCTTTAACTATGTGGACCTTTGTTGTCAGTGTGATGTCTCTACTCTTCACTATTTTATCGAGACTGGACATTGCTCTCCTCCCAAGAAGTAAGCGTCTCCTCATTTCCTGGCTACAGCCTGCGTCTGCAGTAATCTTTGCACCTAGAAATACAAAGTCTGTCACGGCCTCCACGTAAACAGCAGCCATATAATGGCATTTACTTGGGTTTAAAATATCCTACATCATGATTGTGTTAAACTAAAAACTATATATATTAGATCCATCCATCTAAGGATACTTTGCAAGTATTGGCCATTTCTGTAAATGCACAGCAAATAACTACATGCGTATAATGTAAAACACGATAGTTTTAATTTCTCTTTATAACGGCATGTTGTAGAAAGACATGTTTTGGTAAGCAACAATAGGAAAATATTGTTAAAACACATTGTAGTGGTTATGTAATTATGTCTTATTTAATAAGACAAAGGAAACCATGCTCCCAGAAATGAAAAAAAAAATGGTTATAAGTTCTCATAAAATCTAATATTTTGCATTCTGGATTTCACAATTGCCCTAATTCGACAAAGTAGCAAGTATCGATCTAAGTTTTTCAGCTAGTGTCACTTTGAATGTGAAGTTTAAAATTTGCATTAACATCCTTGTTAAAGAAATTAATTGCATACTTACCGTTAGTTAGTTTTAGTACTTGCATTTGAATATAAAAGAAACATTCCATTGTAAGTGAAACAGGGAAAACTTGTAATTAGATGTGCACACTTTATAATAAGATGCAACGGAAGAAACACTTGATCTTTTAAAAGAGGAGAAGGGATACAGACTTTCTTGAAGTACAAATGTTTCCTTCTTATTGCTATTCCTAGGAGTTTCTCAGCAGTAAGGCAGCAGGTCACTGACAATGATAAATCTGAGCGAAAAACTGAAAGTACC